CAAGTTATGGCAGGTAGTTCTGGTATAGCCAGTAAAGTTTTTGCTACATAATTATTCTTAATAAAATCTTTCTCCTCTTCGGCAGCAGTCATTTTTGGTTGAGGTGACGATAATGATTGTTTTTCAGTCGATATCGGTAAGTCTAATGGTTTTGGTATGTAATACATAGACGTATCAAAATCGTTGGTTTCTTCAGTTGTATAAGTCATGTTCTGAAAGAAAGTGTTTGTATTACAATCGTGTTTTACTATCTAAAATAAATAATTAATAGACAAATATGTTTACAAAAATGGTGTGCGAAGAACATTTATAAAAGATGTTAATCGAATTAGTGTAAGTATAATAACTAGAAATATAAATACTCTTATTTTTTTAACAACTGACTATATTTTAAAAATTTAATATTATGACTAAAGTTCAAATTCTAGTATATGATTTTCTACCTAATGCTTGACAATAAATAAATTTTATATATTCATAGAAACGAACTCCTTTTAATCTTTTACTAGTTCTATTCAGACGTTCTTGTTAAATAAATACTTGATTTATATTTCTAATAAGTCCATATAATTTGTAATATGACTTCTGGTATTGTCATTTCTAAAAAAAAATATTTTAAATAATCAAATTTTCTCAACATCATAAATAAAACTTACTAGACAAGCCAAAACCAAGATATTGAATTATAAAAGTAATTCATATAGTATATAAACAAGTAAATGTACAGTGAAAAAAAAACGATAGATCCAAGTGATACTTCTTCAAGTATATTCTAATAATATTTGCTGCCTATCAATATATGTTAGATGATATTTTTATAGTCTATGTACTTTTTCATTACCAACGAACGTATGAAAATAAACGTTGATGAAGAATAGAACGAAGTAATATATTTTAGTAGGGCAGCCATGTGATTTATTATCATCGATTAACATATGTTACGCTTCAATAATTATTCTTTTTCTTTCTTTTCACTGCATGCTGTTTCACTCACATTTGCGATGCAAATAATAACAATTAGACGGCAAAGATGAAAATACTCGAAGTTTGAAGTTATATCAACCAAAAAAGTACATGTAATTGTACTGAGGTTAAAGACTATATAAAGAGGGTTATAGCTACATTTACAATACAATTTGATGGTATTTTTCGTTGAAATTGAATAATAAAAGTAGATCTTATTATCTTGTGTAGTCAAGTTTCTAGTAAAAAAATAAGCTCAAGGAGAACGTTTGTCGTCTCTACAGAATAATGGAAGAACAGCAAAAAATATTGTGAGTATCAGATAGATTGCTTTAGCGTTTTTATCACTCACTGCGTTAAAATAGACACTTAATCGATCTCAATCATATTGTCATGAGTGACTGTTTGTCCAACCATCGACTTTATCTAGCTCTAAATTTTATGCTTATTTAATTTACATTCTAGAAAGAATATTTTTTAACAAACTTAGTTATGTTGGTCATACATAAAATATTTTCAATAAAAAGTACAAGAAAGGTTTTAATTGGAACATTGTGTTGTGTAGTTTGTCAAAATATTTTTTGTAGACATTTAAAAAGGAATCTAAAAAGATTGTAGTCTACAAAATAAATGATAAATTAGATTATTCATATTTTTAATGAGTTTTATTTGTTGATTATGAAAAATACTTTGAAAGTGACAAAAAAAAGAATTATTTATTCAAAGTCGTTTTATCATCTAAAACTTGTTGCAGTCAAGATCAATAAAAAATTTTTGTATTCGATGGTTGCTTAAATCGACAACATAAAGATTACCCTGTCGATCAAATGATAAATCATATGGGTTTTCGAGTTCTGCAGATCCGCTTCCCGGTAGATTTTCACCAACAACAGGATCACTTTCTATTGCATCTGTCGACCAACGCCATATTTGATGAGTTCCGTTAATCGACACATAAATATTACCTTTACGATCAACAATCACACCTGTAGGACGACTTAGTAAATTGGGATTCTTATCAGAAACTTGCCCGGGAGCAACAAGAATGCCTTCGGTCGCATGTTTCTTCCATTTCATCACACGATTATTTCGATCGTCTGCAACGTAAACTGAATAATATTCATCAACGAAGATATAGTTAGGTTCATTGAGTTGATTTAATTCGTTTCCTTGTCCATTTCCACCAGCTACAACTGTACCTTCTGTATCTCCTTCTCGCCAACGTCTAACATTACCTGTTCCATAATCAGAAATATAAAGATCGCCATTATTATCCATTGCTAAACCCCAACAAAAAATATAACTGATCAATATTTGTTGATCCTGACTATTTTGACGAGACGATCGTACCAATCGTCTGTTGCCCTGATCACAAATGATGAGATATTTCTTCGCTTTATCAAGAACTACATCCAATGGATAATCCAATTGATCTATTGCATTCCCATATCCTTTTCCACCTGCAACAACTTCACCTCTGCGTGCACCAAATTCCCATCGAAGAATACGATGATTTCCACTGTCAGCAATATAAATACTTTGATTATCATCATCAATATAAATACCAGAAGGCCAATTTAATTGATTTAATGCATTTCCTTGTCCATATTCTCCAGCAATAGTAATTGCATTCTTTTTCCATTTCGTATTGTTATTAGTAACAACACAAGAAATTAATTGTCCTATAAAATAGTAAAAAAAATTCAATTTGTTTCAATAGGAAACAAACTAGTTTTAACAAAATCATACCTCTTGTTGTTGATGATGTTGTTGTTGTTAATAATGTTGTTGTTGATAATGTTGCTGATGTTGTTTCTCTTTTATTTTTGTTCACTAAAATAATAGTTATTTGAATAACTATAATTGTAACAATCAAAATATTGAAAGATATAATCCAAATTAATTTTCTTCTTCGGAAATGTTCAAGTCTATAATAAGAAATTCTTTCGATAATTCATTGTTATTCATAATATATATACATACAATCTTCGTAATCGTGTTTTATTAGGGTTAACTACTGCAGACTAAAATATTTAAAAAGAAAAAAAAAGATTATTTTCTTTTCTATTTAATACATTACTTTATCAACTTCAACTCTATCACTCATGCTCATAGTTGTTGTTCTTGACAAACTTGAATATTGTTTTTGTATTTATGAAATTTGATATATTTCATTAATTAATAGATTTAAATCAAAATGAAATAATTTGAAAAATAAGTTTTATCTTGAATAACCAGTTGAGAATGTTATAAAATTTGCAATAACAAAAAAAGAATCCTATATCAATAGAAACACTAATCTTATTTCCTTTTTTTGCAAAGTTAGTTTTGAATAAAATATTGGCAGATGTGAGCTTTAAATAATATTTAGAATAGTAAAAAAGAAAGAGAAAGTCAGAAAACGATATAAAATGCTGCATAAGATACATTGAGAAGGATAAAAAAGAATAGAATATTTATTGTTAGAAATATGTTATATTTTATATTCTCTACATAATCTTCTGTCGATTATTTCTTATTCTCTTCTTTGTATCGCCATATAATGAATGATACTTGAAATCAATGGAATAATGACTAAAATTACGTTTTTTATTTTTTTGCATGTTTAGAAGTAGTATATGTGAAATATAAAAACAAAATTTCTAGTTTGTTCTCTCATATTCTTACCTCTTTGCCTTCTTGAATAAGCAAAGGATCAAAGTTGTGAAATAGTTGATAAAGAGGATAGCACTAGCAGACTTCTTTGAATGATGGTTTTGATCGAATGAACATTGAATCTGGAAGTTCCGACAGGGAAGTCCTGTGGAGAGACATGGACTTGTCAAAAAAGTAATGTCTGTTTCAAAGAGTAATCCTGTCGATATGCTCCAATTGTTTAAAATCATTCTTGAGACTACTAAAGCAGTGGTGACACTTGTATGTGTTCGAGATCATTTGAAATGGCATGTGAATTTTTTAGACAAATTTTAAGATATTATTAAAATAGGTCGAGGGGAATCTGTTGACTAATAATTTCAATTTTTTAAATTACCATAAAATTAGGAACTATCGTAATTAATAGCATTTACAATCACGATTGTAACTAGTTTCATAAGGAATGTCAGAATCTGATTTTTAGTTGCAATATGTGATGAAACATGCAAAGTCAAAGCCAAGCTAACGAAAGCGATAGTTACTAAATCTATTTTCATTAGGAAATAAGGTTAGTTATTATTTTTATTGAGTAAAGTGAGATAGACATACAATAGATGTACATTAAACATGAACACTTGGGTGAGAATGTGAGATCAATATAATATCTACACCCACACCCTTAAATATTTTTCTGAATTGGAAAAATATTTTATTTGATTTTTTCATAAAAATTGAATCTTTCTAATTGAGTTTTCTTTGAAATTCTTTTAGTTTGATTCATTCAATAAAATTTCTATCCGAATTATTTTATTCATTTTGATTTTTTAATCTCAAATTAAATTTAACAGATATTTATTTACTTTTTCGCTCTAAAATTTAAAAAAAAATTATTTATTTTATTAAAACAAATTCTTTTAGTTCATTTTCATTTATTTTCAAAAATTAAAATCGAAATTTTGTCAAATTGAATTAAAAAGTATTTTTAATTTCAAAGTTTTTCATATTTTTGGATTCGATGATTGTTAAAATCAACAACATAAAGATTTTCTTCATTATCAAATGATAAACCTGTGGGACTATCCAACTGATTTGATTGCTCTCCTTCATCATTTCCACCAACAACAACTTCACCTTCTTCATCCCCTTCACACCAACGCATTACTCGATGATTCCATTGATCTGCCACATAGATTTGACCCAAATGATCAACAAATAATCCTTGAGGATGATCTAATTGTTTGAGACTATCTCCTTGACCATTTCCACCAGCAACAATAATTCCTTCTTTTGCACCTTTTTTCCATTTCGTCACACGATGATTGTCACGTTCTGATATACATAGAGAACAATCTTCATCAATAAAGATATCAGTAGGACAATTGAGTTGATTAAGATGATTTCCTTGGCCATTTCCACCTGCAACTAATTCACCTTTTTCCTCTCCTTCTTTCCATCGTCTTACTTCATGATTCTCAAAATCACAAGCATAAATAAATCCATTTTTATCGATTGTCAGACCAGAGCATTTAATATTTGAAATAATAGTTTGTTGATTTTGATCAAAGTATCGAATTACTCGTTTGTTTCCCATATCAGAAATAATAAAAGAATTATTTTCTTTATCAAAAATTATATCCATTGGCCAATTCAATTGATTATTTTGATTTCCTTGTCCATTTTCACCTGCAATGATTTGACCTTCCTTTGAATTCAATTTCCATTTAACAATACGCTGATTCCCGCACTCAACAATATAAATAGATCCATCGTTATCAATAAAAATCCCTTGGGGACAATTGAGTTGATTTAATTTATCTCCTTGTCCATTTCCTCCAGCAACAGTAGTTCCAAATTGTTCGAATTTATTCTTTTTTGTTTGAATTTGTTCTAAAATAAAAGATTTTCATTTTATTCAAAATCTGTTTCATTATTTCTACACCAAAAAACGGCAAAAATAATACGAACAAATTATATCTGAATTTGTTTTGATAAAATAAAAGTTTCATTTTGTTTAATTTGATTTTAAACTGAACAAAAAAATTCTAAACAATTTCTTCAGATTTTTTTCATAAAAAATTGCCTATTTGATTTTCATAAAAGTTTAATTTAAGAAAATCATTTTTATTTCAATCAAATAAATAAAATCAATTAAAAACTTCTTCTTTATTAATAAACTAAATAATTCTTTTTGTCTTAAAATTCTAACCTAAATATTTAAACTTAACTTAAATCTATTTAAAAACAATATAATCTTTTTTATTAAAATACTAAAAGACATTTTTCAAATGAAAAAATCTAAAAACTCTATTTATTCTGAGAAATTTATCTAGTTTTAAATTTTCTATTTAAATAAATCTTTTCTTATAAAAATTGTTAATTGATTAATGTGTTGAAATAATCTTTTGAATCAATTCTATAGATGAAATGGTGATATTATTTTTCAATTGAACTTTTATTTTATTCTTAATAATTAATTAATTGAGGGTGTGGGTATGTGTGTAGGCGAAGGTAGGAGATGGACTCCTTACTTCACCCACACTCATCTCCTAAATCTCTAATTAATTAAATTCTCTGATGACACATCATTAATCTGGTTGAGAAAATTAGTTTGTAAAATGAAAAACTTGAAAAAATATTTCACTTAAACTTTGTTTTCTCTCTTCTCGAAATGAAATAATTGAATAAACATACCGAATGATGAAATAACTGAAATTTTCTTGATAAATTCTTGTGAATCTTGTCGAATAGAAATATTTGATGGTTGAAGAAGTTCTTCTGTTATCTGTGTTAACTTTAATTGAAAATGTTTTAAATCAATTTCATTTTCTTCACGTATTTCTTTTAATTTCTCAGATAATTCAACAGATTTTGTTTCCACATCATTGATCGTTTTTTGTGTTAATTTCATCAGTGTTTCTCGACATTGTTGTGCTGTTTGTTGAATTTTCTCAATTGAATCTGTTTCCCATTGATTAACCTGTTGAATTAAAAAAGAATTGTGTGGATTTTGTTTTTGTTGAATAATTGTTTGTTGAAATTGATCATAGTCATTAATAATTTCATGTAACTGTGTCTTGATTGTTTGTCGATTTGCTGTTGCCATGTGTTGAAGAATTTGAAAAAGAAATGAATATTTGCTCTTATTCTGTCTGTGTATTTGTTTGTACAAAACAAAATGAGTCATGATTGACAAATATAAATAGGTAGTAAAAGAACGAAGAAAACTTGTTTTCTGTTGATAAGAGATCTTTATCACGAAAATAATTCAATATTCATTGACATTGAATGGAAACTGAGTCTCTTTAAAGAAGATCATTTATGAAAGCTTTATTGATCTTTCGTCTTTTATATGAGTTGAGATACAAATAATATTGTAATTTTCACTGAAAAACAAACAAAAGAGTTTTCTTTATGAAATTTTGAATAGATTTCATTGTAATCTATCCAATTTTCTTTACTTCAATGACCAATTTTATACTCTTAGATATGATGATCAAGGTTTTTCTTGAATTTCTTTCATGGATGTTGAATAAATGTGTTTAAATAAACGATTGTTCTAAAATAAATCGACTTGAATTTGAAGAAAATAAAATAAAAAGGAAAATTATTTCGAAATGTTGAATTTCTCATTATTAATTGTTTTATCCGAAAGAATAAACCTGATGAAATTAGAGAAATATCTTTTTTCATAAAAAGAAAAACCAATTTGATTTCGTTTCAGAACTATCATTCGGCTTATAATTATTTATTTTTTTCTTTTAAAACTAAAGACAAATGTTAATATCGTTATCGGTATTTCGAAATCTTCGTCACCATAGAAATTATTTATAGAGAATCATCTCATAAAACAAAAAACCACATATAGGTATGGGTGTAGGTGTATGGTTAATACATTATCCATATCCAGACTCACACCCAATCCGTCATTTATGAAATAATTACTTCAGATAAATATGCGATTTGTGTGGGGGTGCGTCAAATGCATATTGATTAAAATAGTACACCTATTCAAAAATATTCATTTTGACGTCGGTAAAGGTCAATACTGAGATTTTTTTTCAAAACAGACCAATGAGTTTGTTCATAAATAAAAATGCTTTTATCCAACTGACGTCAATAAAAATCTGTCTAACTAAATAAATACATGACATTTTATTCATTGTAGTTCTAGACAAGAGATGATGCATTTCAAATGAAATATTTGTTCTATTTCATTTTTATTTATTATTAGATTATGGCTATATCACCAATGAATCTTTATTTTACTCGCCAAGTAAGTGAGTTTAACAGGTGAATTTTCAATAAATAAACCTAAAGACGTATATGGGAGAATCGAGAGAAAAAAAGTGACATATATCACGGCCTATAAAAGAATCATTCTCAGTTTTTCTTTTTCTTATCACTCACTGCGTTATGCCATTGTTTTAGATAGAAATATTTGAATATTACCATTATCCTCAAAGTTTTCTTTCGTGGGGGAAGGATGCAACTGGCTTTGATATTTTTTTCTATAATTATTCTTTTTAAGTATAATGATACTCTGCAATGCATTTATTATAATGAAATTCTTGAAGTACCAGTGGGCACGTTTGATTTAATTAAAATCAAAGAATATATCAATAAGTCGGTAATTCTTAAGAATCAAAACAGATGCTATGTATACATCGTATTTTCTGCTGATTCACAAACTTTAAAAATCATTTTTCAAGAAGTGGATTTATTCACTTCTACTATTAACGTTGATGTAGCTGTTATGGCAAAAATGGATGTGACTCAAAGTAAAGAAACTACAAAAAAAATATCGATAGAAAACATGATAGCATTTTTATGTGATAAAGAAGATGCATGTAATCGACAGTTTATATTTGATTATCTTGAATGGGTGTTTATTACAGAATACCAAAGTTTGGAAACAGCGATTCGTCCGTTGCTTTTTCCTCAATAGAATCAAATAGGTAAACAAAATAAATGATCGATTGTGATCATAGAAAGTAACTTTTATGATCATGGAGAGTAAAACTTAATCGTACTTTTTGTTCTATTATTATCATTCTTTTTATACTCAGGTCAATGTTATGTTAACGTGAACAATGATGTGGAGACATGTGCGACTGGTGTGTGTGCGACTGCTTCTCAATATAATCAAACTGAACGTAAATGTTATGAAACACGCATTACGACGATGGTACTTACTATCGGCATGAAAATTAGTATCGCCAAAAATAGTGAAAAAGAAGACAAAAATCTTAAACAAGAATTAAAATTTACAGAATCACTCGATCTTTATGCTTATACTTGTCTTTCGAACATATGTAACAGTAAAACAACCGATGAAAAGATTAAACAAGCAGTGAAAGAACATTACAATCTATCTTCGTTGTACGCAATCCTCAGAGAAAAATTCAATCGATAATATTTACCAGAGCTAACAACAACAACAACTTCTACCTTATCTACTGGACAATTTACTACAAATGCACAAGTACACAAATACCCAGTCTCGAATATCCTTATATTTTGTAGTGGATTATTCACATTGATCAGTAGATTTTTCTGAATACTTTCTTTTTCGATGAATTATAACTATTATACAAGAATAAATAAAACTAATTTCAAAAAATGATCCTTCTGACTATTTATACTCATTGTCTCATGTCAATTCAATGTTGTGCATATTGATGTCGATGAGGGCGAGATTGAAAAGTACATAGAATACACGCATGTGTGATCACATTCACTTTAATTCTATCTGAAATCTGTAATATGATCCTTAAATTACAGAGACAAGTCATTTACAAATCTTCAGCCATTTTGTCAAAGTTAAACAATCAATTATTGAGGGTGTGAGTGTGGGTGGATGTTACTTTATCTTTATTTATAAAGTAAAGATAAAGTAACAAGCCTGCTTTTGAAAAAAATCGACATGTTTTAAAGACTCAATATTTCAAGAAACAAGCAGTCATTTTGACTGAAACTTTTAGATCAATATAAGTTATAAGATCTGTTCCTTAGACTGTAAGGATAAAATCTAGAAACGGAGATTGATCTGTTTAGATGTATTATTTTTGTTGATAATATGGCACGTCTGACCATTTTTTTGGTACAAATGACCACGTAATTATGGCATATTTTTCGATAAAAGAGTTTTTATCTTCTAATATCGTGTTATTTGAATAGCATAGTATTTAATATATAATATTTAATAAAAACAATGAAAATAATATTAATAACAACAAAACGGAACGTTCGTGTATACAGAGTATTATAATGCTTTGGAGAAAACTGTTCCCCTATTTTTATATAGCATATCGTTCATCATCATCGACAAATATTTGTAAGTCATGTTTGACAAAAACGATGATGCGCCGAAACGTCCTGTACGACAACTCAAAAAAAATAAGACTCAGGATTAGAAGCTTAAAAACATACGCATTGTAATTTTTAAATTTTTAAATTTTAGTTGTTGTATTATTGCAAAACATTTGCAATAAGTTTGTCAGTGTAATAGTCTTGCTGTAGTACACAGAGATAAAAGAGTTCAAAATCAATTTTCATTTATAATGATAGAGAGATCTACACTGTAATTTTGTTTTTAAAACTCTACTTTTTATAAAATGAACTTTAATAAAGTTAAAGCATTTTGCAACTTTATTATTCATTCATTAAATATCAAACTTTTAGAAAATACTTGATTTTATATAAAGTAGAAATACAATTTGATTTTCTGCTGAAAGTCAAAAGTAATATTGATTAACTCTCATTCATATCTAAATACAATCATATCCGCATGGAGACCACGACAGTCTATGGCCAAGTGAATCGATTTTCGATGAAAGTTACTTGTTGTTAAATATTGAATTTCAATTAAATATTTATTCATTTAATTTGATTATTTTTCTTTATTTATTAATATAATAGAAAAACTATTCAATTTCTCTTCAGTTTTGTTTTTTTAATAAAATAAAATAAAATTGATCCTTTGTTTATTATAAATTTAATGAATTATTTTATTTCATTTTTAATATTTAAATGTAAAAATAGTTTTGAGAGTTTTATTTTCATTTAACAATTTTTTCATTTAAAAAATTGATTATCTTAAATTAATTTTTTCGATTTTAACATATTTCATTCTTATTTATTTATGCTTTTCTTCTGTGTTTCCTTTCTGTCAGTAAATCATAAAATCACAAAAATATATCTAATAGAATTTCTATTTAGAACTTGTTTTTTATTAACCTAAATGTCTTTCTCAATTTGAATAATATTTTATTTGATTTTTCTATAAAATAAGATTTTTTCCTAATACAATTTTCTTTGGCATTCTTTTAATTTGATTTAATCAAGAAAAAGTTCTATCCGAATTATTTTATTCATTTTGATTTTTTTATTTAAATTAAAATTAAAAAAATATTCATTTATTTTTTTCTCTAAAAATGAAAAACAAATTTATTTATTTTATTAAAAGAAATTTTTTAGGTCATTTTCATTTATTTTTGTTGAAGATTTTCCATAAATTAATATTTTTTATGTATTTTCAAAAGTAAAAATCACAGTTTTTATCAAATTAAATTAAAAAGATTTTTAATTTTAAAGTTTTTCATATTTTTGGATTCGATTATTCGCAAAATCAGCAACATAAAGATTCTCTTCATTATCGAATGATAAACCTATAGGACGACACAATTGATTTGATTGATTTCCTTGGCCATTTCTACCAACAACAATTTTACCTTCTTCATCTCCTTCACACCAACGCATCACTCGATTATTCTGACAATCTGCCACATAGATATGACCCAAATCATCAATAATCACTCCATGAGGAAGAGACAACTGTTTGAGACTATCTCCTTCACCATTTCCACCAGCAACAATAATTCCTTCTTTTGCATCTTTTTTCCATTTCATTACACGTTGATTCCGCATATCTGATATATAAAGAGAATAATCTTCGTCAATACAGATATAAGTAGGATAATCGAGTTGATTAAGATGATTTCCTTGACCATTTCCACCAGCAACTAATTCACCTTCGTCATTTCCTTGTTTCCATCGTCTTACTTCATTATTCTTCCAATCAGAAACATAAATAGATCCATTTTTATCGATTGCCAAACCCCAACAATCAATATTTGAGATAATAATTTGTTGATTTGTTTGACTATTATCGAAATATCGGATTACTCGATGGTTTCCATTATCAGCAATAATAAAAGAATTATTTTGTTTATCAAAAATTACAGCTCTTGGAAAAATCAATTGGTTATTTTTATTTCCTTGTCCATTTCCACCTGCAATGATTTGACCTTCATTCGAATTCAATTTCCATTTAACAATACGATGATTTGACGAATCAACAATATAAATTGATTTATCGTTATCAATAAAGATCCCTTTAGGACCATAGAGTTGATTTAATTGATCCCCAAATCCATATCCTCCAGCGACAGTAATTGCAAATGGTTCAAATTGTTTCTTATTTGTTCGAATTAGTTCTAAAATAAAAGATTTTCTTTTTATTTAAAATCTTTTTTTTAAATGAAAATCATTTTTATTTGAATGATTTAAATAAAATCGATTAAAAATTTCTTTTTTATTAACAGATTAAATAATTTTTTTATTTAGAAATTCTAAACTAAAAAGCTAAACTGAACTTAAATTCACTGAACAATTTCAAAATAACATAATCTTTCCATTAAAATATTAAAAGACATTTTTCAAGTGAAAAAATTCTGTTTATTCTGAGAAATTTCTTTCAATTTGATTTTTCAATTAGAGTAAATCTTTTAAAAAACAAAAAAAGTAATGATTTTATAAAAAATTATTAATTGATTAATCTGTTGAAATGATATTTTAAATTAATTTTATTTCAATTTTTACTAATATTTTAAAATCATTAACCATAAAATATTTCATATAGAATTTAATTAAATTTAAAAAAAATATTTGAAATGTGATTGATCAAAAGAAAATATAGTACTTACTGAATTTGATCATTTTTAGAATTTTAAAAAACGAAAAAATCCGACTTTAAATTAGATCGAAAAATTTAATTTTTAACAAAAGAAATTTTATTGAGATCGATTTGATTATTATTTGGAAAATTTGAGAAGAAAATGAAGTCAATTTTAATTTTAATCAACAATAATTTATCTGAGATAGTTTTTTTTATTTTAATATTTGAAAAGAACAGATTAAGTTATTTATTCACATTTTCTTATTTTTTCATTTTTATACAAAAAAAATTGTTAATAAACTAAATGATTTTTAAAATTATTCATTTAACAAACTTGTTTTAAAATAAATACTTAAACTGGAAAATGAATTGAGAATATTTAGTAGAATTATTCTTAACAATAAAATTGTGTTGATAAACATGAAAAAAATAAAATTTGAATAATTTAAATTAAAACAAAATTAAAGAAATTTTATCATTAAAAAAATATTCTTGAGAAATACTAAATTTTATTCGATTAAATAAAGAACAAAGAATGCTTGTCTAATTAGAAAATGTTTCATTTCAATTAATTTAATTGATTTCTTATTAAGATGATAAGATTTCTATATGAATTTAATATTTATTTTGTTTTTCTAATCAATAGATTTTTTGATTATAAAATATTTTAAAGTTTAAAGATAAACTCAAATATTTATTAATTGCTTATAGAAGAAAAAAATGTTTTATCTTATTTTGATTTGTTTATTTTTATGTTTAAGAAGATAATTGTAGATGATTTTTTATTTTTATAATATAAAAAATATTAAATTAATTTCAAATCTTCATAGTAGAAATAATCGTATGATAAAATCAATTTTACAAATTCTCATAAAATTTCGAATATTTTATTTGATGTAAAAAAGGACATAAAATAAATAATTTCTGATTAAATAAACAAAAGGTAAAATATTGACTAAATAATTAAGAAAATGATTTGAAATTTTGATTTAGTTTTACAGAGAAGAAATATTAATAATATAGATAAATATTCTCAATACAATCCATTTATGAAACGGTGATATTATTTGGGAAAGAGATTTTTTTCTAAACAATTAATTAATTCAAAGATTATATTATAAAGAAAAATCTGAAAATATCGTTAGTGACGAAGAAACAAAATTAATCTTGAGGGTGTGGATGTGTGGATTCCTTTTATATTCACACCCATTGTTAAGAATTCCCTTTCATTTCCTCGCAAAACCCTAGGGTCTCCGTAACACTTCCTTGCAAAATCATAGGGTATCCCTTACAGTTCCTTCAGAAAGAAAAAACACTAACAATAATTGTATTAAGTATGCGCACAAGTGTCTTTATCTTATTTTTAAGATTGTGATGTTTTATAGAAACACTACCCCATAATTATGTGCAGAAATTTTAGCATATATAGAATTTAGCCAAGGATCTTATGAAAATTCACTCTTTGAGAAATGAGCTAGAATCATGGCATGCAAGTAATTTTCCACCAAATTATTCTATATTTAACATATCATATTTCGACTGATCAAATAGTTTTTTCTCTCACCTGGTGTTGGTTTAATTTGCACTGTTTGATTTGTAACTGGTTGTAAAAGAGTAATTGGAGGCTTTGTTTCTTTTAATTGAATCATATGAAGACCTAGTGCTGGTTGAAGACACCCTACTACAATAAATTGTCGAGCAGCTAGAAGAAGAACTTCTTTTTCCTTTTTATAATACGAATGACGACTGATATCTTTGCCACTATCACACTCGATAGTAAACAATGTTCTTTGACCAGTTTTGCCTAAGAATTGTTCGTTTTGGAGTACTTCAATCGATGTTGTACATGAAGAAAATCCCCACCACACAAATGTTTTTCCTTGAGTATATTGATTAGTTAGATCTAAGTTCACTCCACGAAACACATGGCATCGTGTGGATGGTAATTTTTCGAGTGCTGTCAGAATAAGTTTCAAATAGGAAAACCATGGTTCTAATTTTCGCCTGTCTTCAGTGCGAAGTGTTGCATTGAGAGCAAAATATAAACATTCTTTATGTGGTTTCCATTCCATGGAGTAAAGCATGATTGAGGCTGATTCATCCTGTGTTAAATTATCGGGAGGTACGAATTTACATCGTTGTTTTGCAACATAAGCATAATCGTGAATCTCAGATAAAATCGAAACAAGTGGTGTAACAGCTTCTTCCAATGACACTATTGGCATTTTCTCATACCCTCGAATTGGCATGAGCATCTCTTGCGGTTCATTGACAATATCCGATACACGTGTATACTGTTGTGGATCAACATTTTCAACTGTTGTAGCCATGTTTGTACAAAAGAATATTTTCGAATAACAAGCACAATAAATAGTCTAAAAAATAAAATAAAAATTCGTTTTCAAAATTAGCATCATAACTAAATTTAAATGAAAACTATTCTTGTGTCAGACTTTCGGACTATAGTCGTTTGTATATTAATTAGTCGAATGTGTTTCTTTGTAGTATTCTTATTAATTATAAATCTCGACAACGTGATTCGTAGAGAATACATTCTTACGCTATTGTATTTTGCTAATAAAACCAGGGTGAGAGTGGCTAGAGTATGGGGTATAGATATCTGTATTTAATCATTCCACACACCCACACCCAAGAAACATATTTTTTGTTCGTGTTGTTGCACTTTTTTCCAGAAAAAACTTGTCCACCATCATAATTATATTCTCCTTGTTGAAAGAATCTTTCTTTCACTCATTTCTGCATTCTCCTTCCAGAAAAAAAACTGATTCATTCTCATTCTCACAAACTCTTTCCCGGAAAAGAAACTTGTTTATCATCATTCCCGCATTCTCACTAGCAGACGTATTTTTTTGCTCTTATTCCTATACTCTTCTTCTTGAAAAAAACTTATTTCTTTTTACTTCAGTCTTTTACATAAAAAAAAACTTGTTTATCAGCGTTCTTACATTCTCAATACTAGAAGGAATATTTTTTTCTCTCATTGTTACATTTTCTTTTTCAGAAAAAATTATTGTCACTTTCATACGATGAGAAGGAAATTATTTCATAACTCAGTAAGAAGTAGAAAGTGTGGTGTTAATTTTTTGTCTTTTGGTAGATAAATGTAGGGTGTGTGTGCGGGTGTATGGCTAACATAATACCTATACCCACCGATCCCATTGAAGGTTCAAAAATGAACATATACGTTTTTTCCAAATCAATTCTTTGTATGGAATTTTTTATCTAGTTTGAAATAAAGTCCACCTATCCAAGGTTGACATTGAGAGTGTCAGGTTATTTTATAGAATATAAGAGATTGATAATGTTACATAGTGCGTTTCTTTTTTGACAGTGTGAATTTAGTAAGCTAATCAGTCGAGTCTTGAAGAGATGGTTTCAGATGACGCAGCAAACCAGAAGTTGTGTCCTTCCACCTGCGAAAAAGAATACACAATTTTCAATCCTAATATGAAAACTTTATCAAGGCGAAAGGAGATTTTATTTCTTCGAATAACATCTCCGGTAAAGTAAAATATTATTATGAATTAATAGCATTCCTGATGTGGGTGTATATCATTCAAGTTTTCGTTTACAAGGGACGTTCACGCCCACCCCCTAGCGTATAAATAATCGAACAAAGAATACAATTTTATTTTAAAATTGTTGTCTATCGATAACGCATGTTTGGATTTTTACAAACAAATAACATATCAAATTATAAAGGCAAACTAGATGTCATTACTATTAACCAGTAAAGGTATAACTGATCGTTTTCATTCTGACATGTATTGCATGCACAAGTGATTCATGCATTCAGTTACAGAAGATGAAGAAAAAAATGCGGTCGAACTTTCACTTTAAAATGAAAAGAGAAAAGTAGTAATCTGCCATTTTTGTATTGTTTTCTTACTTAAAAGCAAACATTTTTACACAACACACAGGCAAAATGAGTAAGAAGAATAAAGGTACGATGAATTTAGAATTGTTACCTAACGAAATTTTACTTGGTATATTTCAATATCTTCATGGTGTGGATCTTCTGCGTGCATTTTATGATCTTAATTATCGCTTTAATTTCCTTCTTCATAATCAACATCGTGCATATTGTTTTAATTTTAACCATTTATCAAAACGTACTTTCGACATGATTTGTCAACAACATTTAACATTCATTGCTGATCGAACTACAACTCTTGCGCTTAGTAACGGTGAAAATACTCCAGAACAAATTCATTTATTTTTCAAATATATACCATCATTTGACAAATTCATTCACTTACGATCACTTTCGTTTGATTCCATTCGTTCATATCAATTATTAACAAAAATTATTGATGAATGTCATCATCTTTGTAATCTTACTCATTTGAAATTCTACTCATGCAGATTTCATGGAAACGAGAACGACATTCAATTCATTGTTAATAGGATATGGACTTTACCGAAACTTACTCATTGTACCTTTGATATTCTCATTATTGGTGAATTGCCTTTTTTTTGTATGCCACAAAGCATCTCAACATCTATACAATATTTAGACATATCCATAGAAAATGAAGTAAGGTCAAATGAAATAATTCAATTGTTTGAACATACACCTTCCCTTAAACACCTTTCGATGGTGACTAAGTGTGATATCAATGGGAATTATTTATCACATAAATTTCCAACACTGACTAAATTACAAGTCATAATCAGAGATTCTTTTAACTTTTCGCAAATATATGTTTTCTTTCAAAACTTCCCTAGTTTACGTCATTTGGATATCGATACAGCATTTATATTGCTTGATGGTTATGAATGGAAGGAAGTTATTCAAAACTGGTTGTCTAATTTACGAGTATTTAAACTCGAAATGATGGCTGTATTACCAGAGAAAAATGTTCAAAAAGAAGCCGATGAACTATTTGCTACATTTCAAACTTCATTTTGGACTGTTGAACATCAATGGTATGTTCGATGTTTTACGGAGAGAACAGAGATTCATTTGCAAACAGTATCTAGTAGATTCAATTACAATGATCATGCGCATTTGAATCCCGATTCTTTCAAATCAACATACCCACATGAGGATGTACAACACTATTATAGTAAGATCACCCACATTTACAATCAGACATGTTTTGATAAAATGATTCTATTCGATACTTGTTTACCTAATATTGAACATATTAATATACAAGTGCCTATCAATGATCGATTTTGGTCCATTGTTTCAAGTTTGAATCGACTGAAATCTATGACAGTCTTATCTTATGTCGGTAGTTTTCAAGAGAAACTACAAGCTCTATTTGATTTAGCTCTTAATCTACGTCGTGTTCGTATCTATCAAGACGAGCCATTACCCTCTTACATGTCAATATTTAAATGTGAATGTGCATCAGTTCGCGAACTTTGTTTACGATTTGATGAACTTGGTCGCAACCATTATTTTAATCAAGCCGATTGTGTTACATTAGCTCGTGCACCATTAGGTGTTCAATGTGAAGTATTATCGATCTCTGTCACAAATCGCGAAAATATTATCTATCTTGTCGAAAATCTTACAAATCTTTATTCATTAGATGTGGTATGTAAAGATGACGAGTATTGGAAGACTTTAGTAGGCGAGAAGAATGATGATGAACTTGTTCAATGGTTAAAAGATCGTCTACCATCAACAAATTTGATCACACGATATCCTAACTTCGGTCGTGTTATTCGAATATGGATTTGAGCATAAAAGTAAGAACTATTTCTAACCTTTGTATTATTCGATAGAATTCTAAGTCATATATTGTGCTTTTATTTATTAGGTAAAGTGAAACAAAAAAAACTGTCGATTTGCGTGTGGGTGTAGATATAAATATTATGCACCCAAACCCTCAAGATGATAAAATTTGACTTTTTCTTTTATTTTCATTTCTCCATTTTTTATTTAACAAAAAATTTCAATCACAATATTATTTCAAATTTTTGAATTCGATGATTTGAAAAATCAGCAACATAGAGATTTCCCTCATCATCAAAAGATAAACCATGGGGACGATTCAATTGATTTGATTGATTTCCTTCACCATTTCCACCAACAACAACTTCACCTTCTGCTTTTCCTTCACACCAACGCATTACTCGATCATTCCAACAATCTGCCACATAGATTTGACCCAAATCATCAACAATCACTCCGTGAGGTGAAGACAATTGATTGAGATTTTCTCCTTGACCATTTCCTCCAGCAACAACTGTTCCTTCTTTTGCATCTTTTCTCCATTTCATCACACGATGATTATGATAATCTGATACATAAACAGATTCATCATCATCAACAAAGATATAAGTAGGATAATCGAGTTGATGAAGTTGATCTCCTTTTCCATTTCCACCTGCCACTATAATTCCTCTCTTGTATTCTCCCATTTTCCATCGTCGTACTTCATGCTTTTCCCAATCAGAAACATAAAGAAATCCATTTTTATCTATTGCTAAGCCCCAACAATGAATATTCTGAATGAGAATTTCTTGATTTTGATTAAACCATTGAATCACTCGCCTGTTTCCATGATCAGCAATGATAATCGAATGATTTTGTTGATCAACAATCACATCTGTTGGTCCATTTAGTTGATTCATTCGATTTCCTTGTTTATTTCCACCTGCAATGATTTTTCCTTCTTTTGCATTATATTTCCATTCAACAATACGATCATTTGAATAATCAGCAATGAAAATATTTTTATTTTTATCAATAAAGATGACGTGAGGGTAGTTGCACTGACTTAATCGCTGTCCTTGCCTGTTTCCACCAGCCACAGTGATGGCATTTTGTTTCCATTTGTTGAATTTTGATTCTAGAAAACGATGAAAACAAAACATTTTAATAAAAAGGAGAAAATTTGTTTTTGCTCGAAGAAAAAAGAAATTATTAGGTGAAAACTTACTTGTTGATAAAATAATTGAAATTTCACTAATAAATGATTGTGAATCTTCTTTAATAAAGATCTTTGGTGGATTATTTAATTCTTGTGTAATTTCTATTAATTCATTTCTTAAATATGTTAAATTAATTTCATTAAATTCATTTTCTTGATGAATTTGTTTGATT